GGAAGTAATTGTTCTAGGAATTGCAATCACTGGCGACGTGTGGTCATAGGTTGTTATTATTATGGTTTCAAACGTTGTTCAATCTAATAATAACACTGTTTTCGGTACCACTAAAAATCGTTGAATGAGATGTTATAATATTACTTTTTCAAGGTGTTATGGCATTTGAGTTTTGAGTATTTAGAGATTCTTCACATAGTAGAAATTAGTAAGATGTGATTTGCCGGTGAATTGAATTAAAATGTTTGGCGGTGAACGGAGAAAAAGGAGAAACGGTGGTTGTGTCACTTTATTGAACTGATTTATATGTTTTCCCAAGTCTTAAGACATGATACTCAAATTCGGTTAAGGATGAGTTTGAATTTACATAGAATGATATATTTTAAGGTTCTAATTGATGTTTGTTACTTTTTTGAGGTTTTGTCATTTTTTTTTAAATTTATACTATTATGAGTGTTTGTTTCTTTTTTGAATAGTGTGTCATTTTTTATAGCGATGAGTGTTTATACAATTTTTTGACATTTACATCTTAGTTTAATCATCAATTTTCATTAGTTGTGGGTTTATAGGAAACTTGATCGTATTTAAAATTTTGGATTATGATTATATTGTTCTTAGTTCAAAAGTTTTTAATTTGTTCACCAGTTGGGAACTTATTGGATAATTTGGCTATATTGAAATTCGTGGGTTATGATTTGTTTTTTTTTCTGTCACCTTTTTTGAATTTATGTCATTTTTAAAAAAACCTTCATAACCTTTTTATTCTTAAGATTTCGTCACTTTTTGAGTGTTGTCACTTTTTTTAATATGCTTAATTTTTTTTAAAAATTTGTGTGACTTTTTTGAATTCGTCACTTTTTAAAAATTTCTATCACTTTTTTGCGTTTGTCACTTTTTTTTCAATCATCTTCTTGATTTCTATCATTTTTTTAGTGACAAATATCAGTTTTTAAAAAAAGCGACATTGTATGTCATTTTTTTTAATAAAAAAGTTAAACTTTTTATAAAAACAAGAAACGATGTTTTGTTACTTTTTAATATTACGCAATATTTTCTTTTACTTAAAAAAACCTTCTTATATCATTTTATAAAAGACTCCTAATGTTAAGGGTATTTTTTTAAGTTGCCATAAAATAAAAACTAAATGGACTACGTGCTAAATTTAACTAATCGAGCCCATATAAAGATAGAATACCCCCTACATACTCAAATCATTTCTCATTCATTTCTCATCCGATTCCTATTGGAACGAAATGGTTTTTATCATGTGTTTAAGTATAAATCGGACTGGTGTCCGATCGGTTCTCAATTTTTATAATCAAATTGGTCGGTTCAGTTCAATTTTCATGCCATCGATAGATTTAGAGTAAATTTTTTAAAATACTCCAACAGCCCCTTTATCTTTAGCATTTAATTTTACAACTTTCAATATATATTTTTTATTTTTTTCTATTTTCATTAACTTCCCTCCAAATTATTTTATTATTATTTTTACATATATTATTTTATTGGGTCAGTATATGAAGCATTGAAAATTAAAATATTTTGAATACATTTAATTATAAAGAGTGAATTTGGCTATCTAAATTTTGATAATCAAACCCACACTCTATTTTTAAAAGATTAATTTGAAGAGTTTATTGGAGAATTATTATTTCTAAAATATTAGTTTGAAAAGTTTATTGGAGAATTATTTAAAGGGTGACTCTTTAAATTAAAAAAATATTTCACTTTTAAAGAGTCTCTTGAAAATGTTTTAATGAAAACAATATCCCTCTCAATAGTAGAAATAACATTTTATTTCATCCGTCAAGTTTTAAGGCACTAAAATAATGTATTTAACTTATCCTACTGAAAAGATTTAAGGCACTAAAATAACATATTTTTGGACTGTTATCTTCCAAAAGTTCCTCAATCGCACATTTTACCAAAGGTTGAACACTGTGCTGCTAAGATTTGTTGCACTTCTTGAGAAGTCTAGCGACACTGTTGCGATTTTCTCAAAATTTTAACAGCTTACAATTCGTGTTGTATATTCCGTTAGTCATTGAACTTGTACTTTCGTCACACTTTGTTCATTGAACTTTAAAATGCTTCTAAGTAATCGTTAAATTTTAATACGTTACACTCGATCACTCATTCACCATTATGGATTCACCATATTCCATAAGTCATTGAACTTTAAAACGTTTTTCAAGTGAGCATCGAACTTTAACAAATTGCAATTCATCACTTACTCATTATGTTTTATTAGTAATTGAACTTGTAACTCGGTCACGCTTTTCTCACAGAACTTTAAAATGTTACCGAGTGGTCAATGAACTTCATAATTTTTTTCGAGTAAATTTAATTTTCTATGAGGTTCGACCTAAATCAAGAAAATAAAATGAAATAAATATTGACTAGATAATGAGATTCAGTCTAAAGCGAAAAAAATAATATTGATCAATAAGATATGATGTTTCTAGTCTTCAAAAGCTATGTTCAAGAGGAAAAAAATGTGAACTTCAAATTAACATAATTCTTAATTTAGATCATAATTTTCTTTCACATTGAGAAAACAAAATAGAGAAATTATTATTTTTATTTCAATTAAGATCGTAGATCAAAATCAAGAAAAAATTATATCTCAAACAAGCAGTAAAATTTTCAGTTTCGAATCAACAAATGAATCAAGACTAACAAAATAAAAAAAAAAAAAATTTGAGTTGTCATTAGGTAATTCACGAGGGAATAATGATACCGTCGGTGTATATGGTATTTTATTCTTCAAATTTTAAAATTTTTGGAACAATTTTAGTGAGCAAATTTCATTGACCACTCAAAAATACATTATAATTTAGCGAGCAAAGCATGACAGATGCATAAGTTCAATGATTGATTAAACAAGGTGATTGAGCGATGTAGTGTAACATGTTAAATTTTAAAGACCGCTCAAAAGCATTTTAAAGTTCATTGACTAATGAAAAATAGTGAATGAATGATGAAGTGTAACGTATTAAAGTTCAGTATTATCCCTCGAAAGCATTTTAAAGTTTAGTGAGTAAAGCGTAATGAATGTATAAGTTCAGTGACTAATAAAATATTTAACTCAATTTCACATAATTTTTGAATTAATGTAATTTAAGCCTTGTTTGGTCCCCATTATTTTTAAAATATATTTTTCTCTTTTTTATTTTTAGCTACACATTGTTAATAAAATAATATTACACTCATACTTAAATCTTTTTCTTATTTTATGACCAAACATTATTCATAAAATACTATTTTAAAATGTATTTTGAGGCAAAAAAAAAGGGGCTCAAACATGCTTTAATTCAGTTATATTAATTTTCCCTTTTCAAACAAATGAATTTATGGACCATTTTCAGACAGGTTTAAATGAAATTTATTAAAAAAAGAAAAAAAAAAAAAAAAAAAAAAAAAAAAGGAAAGAGAGAGAGAGAGAGAGAGAGAGAGAAGGGTCCAGTAACTTCCATTAGATAACTTAACCATGAAGAAAAATTAAAAAAAGGAAAAATTGCAACTACGATATCTAACCTTTCACTTTTATGCAAATTTGATCCAAACCTTTCCACCCATGAAATCATACATTTCAAAAACTCGCATCTAAAGTCCAAATGAGTGAAAATCGTTCATTTAACCGTTAGTTGAACAAAAATTAACATTAAACATAAATTTGACTAATTTTAAAAGCTTAAAATAAAAACCATAATTATAATATATTAATAATTAAATCAAAAAAATAAAAACACCATTCATCTTCTTCTCCATTCATCCTCCTCATACCCCATCCTCAAAATCAAAACCCATGAAAATCGTCGACGCCCACCAAGCATCACTGCCACCAAAATCGCCTACTATACTGAGCCGCTTTTTCTCAAAACCACCAAAACCCGCAACATATTTGAAGATACATCTAAAATCAAATGAAATATAAGATTTGCACCGTCATCACCGATATCCAACCTCACTTCCTCATCACTACTTTAATGCCAATAGCCATCTCCACCATCACTCCTCTCCATCACCGCCACCATAAAAAATAGTCACGCCCACAATGAACCATCACAAAACTATTGCCATTGCAACCATTTACACCTTCTAAAATAATAAAAACAAAACAAAATCGTACAAGAAAATTCAAGCGATTTTAAATTTTTTATTAGATCTAAAAATTGAATATGGTTTCAAGATCCAAATTTGATTTTTGAAAGTGAATTCGCAACTAAAGTCAACAGTGGTGCTTACAAAAAAATTCATCCTTCAGACAGTGGGTGGTGGTTGTGTTTGGAATTCATAAACATTTTTAATAGTGTGTTTGCATCTTATTCTTAGTGTTTGTATTCTTCTATTGCAGATGAAGGTGTTGAGTTTGGGAAAAAAGTTGAAGGGAAGACATATTCGAGAATGGCAAGTGTATGTGTGAGATACTGCAATTTATTTCTTGACTTTTTTAATGAGCTGGTCAGACGAATGATTTAAGAAGAGTTGGGTCCTAGCTAAAGTTTATTGACTCAATATAATTGATATTCTTGTTGGAGGTTGACATTTATTTTGTGGGTGTAGTGGCATAGATCGCTGGTGGTGGTGGCTTTGGGATAAAGGAATTGGAGAAGGGGATAGGGTGGGAGGTTCTTGTTATGATTTTTGTTTTTTGGATTTAATTATTAATATATTATACTTGTGTTTTATGTTGAAAAATATAACATTACCATTTCACCCTTTTAAAATTTGTCAATATTATGATCAATGTCAATTCTTTGATCAACTAATGGTTAAACTAACAATTTTCATCTATTTGGACTTTAGATGTGAGTTTTTCAAAGGTTTAGTATCGTGAATGATACAAATAAAAGGTTTGAGTCAAATTTACATAAAAGTAAAATATTTAATTCCGTGACTGCAATTTTCTCATAAAAAAATGAAAACTAGGCAAAATCATAATCCTAGATTCCGGCCCTACGCAATTTTCATGGCCTAGATTGATTCGTCCTTTAAAGAAACTGGATCACAACTCTCCAGATTCAGCCACTCCATAATTGAACAATAAACATCTCAAATAAGCACACATCACCTTCACAGTGACTATAATTCTGTGATTTTTTCAGGGATTTGATCATCTACGATGGCTGATCATCAAAAGGAGGAGGATAAAAGGGAGGAATCATTGATGGAGAAATTAGCTGACAAAAATCACGACAATGATTCATCGTCATCAGATGATGAGGACGAGAAGAAATCGTCTATTAAGTCGAAGGTTTATCGCCTCTTCGGCAGAGAGAAACCTGTCCATAAAGCCCTCGGCGGTGGCAAACGTATGTAAATAATCTCTATAACGAGCTTTAGATTTTTCGATTTTTGTTTATTTGTGAAAATAGTTAATTTTATGTAGAGATTTTTAATTTTTTACTTTTAATTATTATTATTATTTTTTTTATTTTTTTATTTTTTTTTTGGGTTTGTGAATTTTGTGGGTTTAAAAAAAAGGTTTAATTTTGCTTAGATTAATGCAATGCTTCTTGTTTAATAAAAATAAAAAAAAATTGATTTTTTTATTTTTGTCCTTTTGAGCTATGAAACTATTTTCTGTTGCTGGGTTTTGAGATGATCGTGTTTGATTAATCTTAAAAAATTTAATATATATAAATTGACGGACAAGTTATAAAGTAAGTTTTAGTGCTTGTTCGATAGGAATTTTGATAATTTTTTTTTTACAGTTAGAAATAAAATGGGTCTAGAATAATTCAAAAATGACGGTTGAAATAATGAAATAACGATCAAGAAGTTGATTTTAATTGGCTTAAAATTTGTACCAAGCAAGCTCTTAATTGTTGGTGAAATTTAGTGTTTGTTTGGTAGGAATTTTGTTAATTGATTTTTTGATTGTTAGAGATAAAGTGGGTTCTACATGTGAAAGAAGAATTCAAAAATGGCGATTTGAATAGTGAAATAACGGTAAAAAAATTGAAATTAATTGGATTAAAATCTCTACCTATCATGCTCTTAGAAATACGTGAGTAATTATTTTGACCAAGGTTTTACTTTGAGAAAAGAGTAAGGCACTGCTTGGGAGTGATTTTTCACACCAACAAATTGATTTTTTGACCGTTATTTCACTATTTTAGCCGTAATTTTTGACTTCTTCTTTCACAGGTGGTGTCGTAAAAAAATCAATTCTCAAAATCACTATCGAACAGGTCCTAACCACTTGAAATTGAATAATGTTTGTTATACTTTAATTTCGTGAGGGATTGTGACTGTAGATGAGAGTGAGGCATATTGTTATGTTAAAGTTATCCCACTGGTGTCATTTTCCTAAACTCCAACGCTGAAGTCCTAAACGATTGCATTCGAACATCTGTGGATATACATTTGGTTTAATACTGATTAAAATTAGTGGAGTTGATTAATTTATAAAAAGATTATGTCATTTTCGGATAATTAGCGTGGTCAATGATGTTATCTATGTGGATAAAAACTAGTGGCTTTTACTATCTTTTTGGGGACATAAAAGTTGAGCATTATTTGTTTCCAGCTCAATGAACATGCTCATGGAAACCTTTGTTGTTATGGTGATGGGTTTAGAAAAGCTTAGTCCATACCTAATTCGGTGAACTGACATTGATTTGATCCTCGCCCCCTGGGATATTCATATTCTAGAATTAAAGACTTCTAAGAATACTTTAAGTCGAGGGCTGGGATCTTCTCGCTGAGAGAGGCCTCTCATCAACTTTTATCATAACTGATGGGCTTGTTAGGTCCACCTTTCTTTATGTCGGCTCTAGCCAGACTTTTTTAGAGCATCTCCAAGAGATTTTATAACACAATATACTCTCTCTAATAGAGAGTCGATGCTTAAAAAAAATAGAGAGCATTGTTAGAGTATATAAAAAAAATTAGTCTCTAAATTTAAAAACACTCTCTATCATGCATAACATACTCCTTATAAGTAGAGTCTCTCTTGGAGATGCACTTAAAAGAGATAAATAGGGACTTCCTCGAGTTCTAATTTTAACTTTCAGATCTTTTACTGTGACAAATTACAATAAATAACTGTATGCAGAGAAAATTGAAAAGAAGAAGCAACAACTAAGTCTTATTACCTATAAATTTGGGGTTGACTATGTGAAACAAAGAACGAAAAATAAATTGATTTTTAGAAATTCGATTATGCAAGTAATTGACTTGAGTTGTCTCCATCGATGTTCAGTGGCTGATGTGTTCCTATGGAGAGACAAGAAGGTTTCGGCAGGAGTGCTTGGTGGGGCTACTGCTATATGGGTTCTATTTGATGTTCTCGAATACAATTTGCTCACTTTAGTGTGTCATGGTTTGATACTTGCTCTAGCAATACTGTTCCTGTGGTCAAATGCTTCCACCTTCATCAATAAGTAAGCCTGTCAAATTTGATTTCAAACTCTCTCTTTTGTAAAATTACATATGCTATATGTATGAATTATACATTCTCTGTGTTTTCTTTCCGGTAAGGTCCCCACCTCGTATCCCAGACGTAAATATCCCAGAGAAGCCTGTTTTGAAGTTTGCATCTGCTTTGAGGATCGAGATAAACCGTGTGTTTTCGACACTGAGGGAAATTGCATCAGGAAGGGATTTGAAGAAGTTTCTCTCCGTAAGTAATTTTTCTACTTTGCATTTGGGGAGCTATAATTTACTTAATCATATCATTTATGTGCATGTTTGGTAAAGCTTATGAGATTTACTTATAAGTACACTGATATTATTTATGCTGTTAACATGCAGGTGATTGCGGGTTTGGGGGTTTTGTCGATTATTGGGAGTTGCTGCGATTTCTTGACGCTGGTGTACACAAGTATTAACTTGTACCTTAGTGTTACTTGCGTACATTCTACCTTATTTTTAAGGTTCTAACACGAACGTTCATTGTTTTACTAAAACAGTTACAGTGTTGCTGTGCACGGTTCCTGTCTTGTATGAGAAATACGAGGACAAGGTGGACTCTTTTGCTGAGAAGGCAATGGTCAAGCTCAAGAAAATGTACGCGGTGTTGGATGATAGAGTTTTAAGTAAGATCCCGAGAGGACGACCATCAAAAGACAAAAAAAGGTCTTGAGCATATGATCTTGGAGGTTTAAATTCGACCCTTATGTAATTATCTCCTTGGCTTACGGGTTTATCATCGAACGAATTTGGAATGTATAGCTCATTGTTTGTGTTCTTGTGGATTCAGTTTGAGTGATTGTATGTTTATGTGGTTATATATAATTTGATGCTCGAGTTATTTTCTCATATTTAATTCACTATACTCTTGCTACTAATATCCCAGTATTTCGAATTAATTATTTCACTGGTCATTGAATTTAGGTTCATATCTTTGATTACTCACTTAAATTTAAAATATCGAGTTTTGACGATTGAACTTTGAAAAATGCGGTATGGAAAAACTCGACATTTTTCAAAGTTAAACATTTATGTTAGTGAGTAAAGTACAATATTTTTCAAAATTCAATGGTCAAAACTCGAAGTTTTAAACTTTAGTGAGCAATCGAATACATGAATTTAAGTTTAATAACCAATCATAGACATTTATAAGTTCAGTGACCCTTGAAACAATTAGTTCCCGTATTTCTGCCCTCTCACTTTGTAACGACGTAGATTTGGGAGTAAGCTCAACCCCTGTTTGTCAATCATTATTTTACATTATTTTTTCTATAATACTCATTTTTAATCACACATTCTTCATTAAAATAATATGATGAGTAAATAAAAAACTTCCCATCTTTTTTAACCACGTATTTTAATATCAATTACTATTTCATAATATATTCTTTTCAAATAATGGATGACAAATACATCCTTAAAAGTAGTTGCTTTAAATAGTATCGTATTTGTGAGATTTATAAACCTTTTTAACTAACTATATTCCTCGAATTCCTTTTCGAATGTTCTGGCATTTTTGAAAAATATTAGGGATATTGTGTCTTAGTTTAAGTATTTTTAATTAATTTCAATAGCAAGCAGTCAGGATGGCCGAGTGGTCTAAGGCGCCAGACTCAAGTTCTGGTCCTCGTGAGAGGGCGTGGGTTCAAATCCCACTTCTGACATTCTCTTCATTTTATCACTTTTGCCTTTTTATTGTTTGTTTATGATATAAAAAGTTATATTACTCCACTGAATCAATATTTTGTACATGAATAAAGCTGAATTGCTTAAAAAATAAATGTATCTAAGGCTGTAAGGCATGCTCTGTTTAAAGTTAAAATAACTTATTATATTCGGTAGTAATTATGAAAATTGATTTTTTAATCATTAGAAAGAAAAATTGTTCCCACTTGTAAGTGAAAAAGTAAAAAATGACAACTAGAATAATTAAAAAATGGTCAAAAATTTTATTTTTTAAGATACAAATTTGTTACCAAACGGGGCATAACAATTAATAGACTGTCACGGTTGGATGATAGCTGATGACAATGGTATCATCCAAGAACCTACAAACAAGAACTGACACTGACGTTGATGATAGCTGAAAAGCACTTTGTATTTTTCAGACACAACCTGTGACACTTGTTCAGCTTTAACAACAACAAATTTGTAAGTTATAATTTGGATACTTCTTCGAGCAACACTTTTTCCAGCCCGTTTTAAAAGTTCTGGGAGAAACCCATGAATATCAAGAATGAGAAAACGCTAGAACCAAGTTTCTCTACTCATAATAGCAGTTCAAAACTTCGTCGTAAAAGAATTCAGATGTATAATTTCTTGTTCAAAAGCACGTATGATAAGTTCGAACTCGATGAGTAAATTGTGGAGTAACTATAGTCAATCCCAGATGAGGTAAAGATATAAACAAGCAAACAAAAAATATTTACAATTAGCTAAACCCAAATCCACCACTGTTCGAAGATTCAAGAAGTTCGGCCAATCGTAAAAAGAGTGCCATCAGATCATCACTCACGTTGTGCTTTTATTTTCGGCGTCTTGGGGCCAAATCCGGGTCGCCTTTTCTCATCATTGCTACAAACTCATCATAGTTTATCTTTCCGTCCTACCATAGAGCAAACAATACATTATATATACAACCAAGCAATACATGAGAAGAATCTTAACTCAATCAAGCCCGAACACCTCTAGTGAAGCATAATTTCCTAAAACGAGGGGTTGTATAAGCATTCTTCCCTTTTTGTTTCGAATCACACGAAATATTTCAAGAGAAATTGAATAATAAATAACAACAAATCAAATCTCAGATTCTTGGAAATACAGGGGAGAGACCGATAACTTTTGTGCTCAAACAAAATCTAACACTCGAGAGAAACAAAGTCATTTGGTCAATCATGTCAGGTTACGCTTAAAAAGGTAAAAGTTACTTTTAAGTAACTCTGTGTTTCCAAACTTGTTTAAATAAGTTACTTTTTTCTCAATTTTATGTAAAGAAGGTTATTTGTTTAGAAAATAACTAAAAAGTGTAAGCCAAAAGCATAGGCATGATCCATAATGTATCAAAAACAACTTAGAAAAAGGATATCTAGCTAATACGAGTAAAGAAGAAAGAAGCCTTACATGATCCGTGTCAACTTCAGCAATGATTTCCTTAATTGTTTTAGCATCCCCCATATTGTATTCCTTTAGAGCATGCTCCAATTCTTCGACCGTGATGTACCTAAGATTCAAGGCAAGGATCAAAAAGCAACATAATATGCAATATATACAGCAGCATTTAGGAAAACCACATTTTACCCGCTCTTATCCTTGTCAAAATATTCGAAGGCTTTGAACAAATGATCTTCTCTATCCATTCGATTCAGGTGCATTGTAGCAGTTATAAATTCAATGTAGTCAATTGCTCCATTTCCATCCACGTCAGCCTGGAAATAGCAGAAAGGTGTCACTGATTTATTAGCATCAAAGATGATCATCGTAATGCAGAAATAGGCATATAACAAGTAAATATTTGCAGGGTTGTCACTCTAAATCCATACAACCTCACAGAGGAAAATATTACCCACCCACCCTTCCCAGGTTGAGAACACATTTGGCTAGGCTTAAAAAGTTCACTTATAAGTAAATAATTAAGTTCTCAAAAATTCAAAATAAGTTGTTAATTTTTTACCAAGGTCGGAGTTGTATTAGAATAAGTAACATATATATATTTTTTTTCAACTTAGAAGTAAGAAAAAGGGTAACATATCCAAAAATATTTGGAAACCAGAAGTTAAAATTAACTCTATACTTTATTTTAAAGCTTAGACAAACATGCTCTCATCTGAATTTTAGGTTGGTTTTCAATATGTATAATGTTTCAATTTTCAGGAAAAACTAAATTTGGTCAAACTACTGCATAAAAACATCAATTTTTCTCTACTCTTGACTTAGTATTAATTCAATAACTCTCGTGTTAATTATCTAATTTTTTGCAGGACCTAGATCCTTTCCAATTTACTATAAGAAAGGCTATTATATAAAAAATTATTTAATGTTAATGACACAAATTTAATTAACACGAGTTATTAGGACCAAAGGGTTAATAAATGTTGAATTTCCATTGGTCAACGTCACCTTTCAATAATAATCTAAGCCTAATATTGCAGCTTTATGAGATGCCAACTTACCTCTGTAACTAAAGGTAATTACTGATTTCATTTACTTTTCTAATTTCAAAATAAAATAAAGTTGACTTCAATAAAATGAATCAATATTAAGTTAAAAGAATATAATGCAGTGATTACTAAAGATTGTCCATGAACTTAAGTACGAAATAGGAACTAGTAATAAAATATCCCTTTGATACTAAAAAGTCTTAAATGAAAATATAGGTAGAGTAGGACAATAATGGCTATGGAAGTTTGCATATCTTCTGGTTAATCGTTGCGAAAAGTGAGATGAATTAGTGGTGGATTCTGAACAGGTTCCAAAGTAAAATTTCCAAGAAGTCAAGGTCATAAGTACAGAAGGATAAAAAGTTAAAATTGAGATCAAAGAAACAGGTAAATTAAGAATAAGTTTAATGAACGAGGAATAGTTGTAGGAAAAGACTTTAGAAAGACTAGAGCGTGCTGGCAAAGCTTAGAAAGTTACTTATAAGTAAAATGATTCTTATGAATAAATTACTTATTTTGACGACAATGTACTCGGTTAAGTTCAATGAAACCTAAGTCCAATGGTGAAGCGTTGAAGCCAAAAGTGTAACGACTGAGGCTGTTGTTCTCTATTTACTCATGCAACAAATGATATAGATTTGACAGGACATTGAGATGAGATAACAACTGAAGCTGAAACGAAATAATTAGAGAAGGTACCGCATCCATTAACTGCCTCACTTCTGACTCGGAAAGCTTGGTACCCAATTTTGGTAAACCAGTTTTCAATTCTTCATACGTAATTGTTCCACTGTTATCTGCGTCCATGGTCTTGAACATCTCTTTCAATCCCATAATTTCTTCTTCAGATAAATTTTCTGCAATTACCTAGAAACCCTCGTATGGGTTCAGAATTAATCACGAGCTGGAAAATAAAAATTTATACCGAAATTGGAAATTTCATTAACGTAAGTAAAATATAGATACTTTACCTTAAGAGCTACTTTCTTCAGCTTGTTCATTGCACGGAACTGCTTCATTCTAGTCAAGACGGCTATGTCAAGAGGCTTATCAGATGCATCGCCGTCTTCTTTCATCCATGGATGTTCTGCATTTTAAATAGTTGAACTTCATTTTATTATTAATTGAATCACATTGAAATAGTTCAAAAACATTTCTTCACACGTTAATCGAATAAATAAAATTGTGATCTTGAGCTAAATCAATACCACTTGTAAAGAATGCATATAGGTTGTGGAGAAAACAAAACGAAATGGTCAAAAGGAAAGACATGAAGAATGAGGAAAAAAGATGAAAATGGTAACTCTTACGTTCATGGAGAAAAAATTTGTCGGACAATGTCTGGCTAAGCTTAAAGAGTTCAATTAATAAGTAATAAGTATTTTTTTATTGATAAGAATGAAATTAGTTTCTTACATTGACACAAAAGTAATTTGTCCAAACATATTTGGAAACAAAAAATTTACTTAAAAGTAACTAATTTTTTTTAGTATTGTGTCTATTTTATGTTAGCGTGTTTATCATATGCGTAAATTATGTCAAGCCAATATAAGAGGGGGTCGATTGGTTTCCAAATTTACTGTACAGGAATCATATAGAATTCTATAATCAAAAAGAGCTGAAACATACGTAAAACTTCTACAGCAGTGAGCCGATGTCTGGGATCTGCCTGTAGCATCTTCTTAACGAGATCTTTGGCACTA